ATAAAATCATGCGAAAATGATTCTAACGATACGTTTACCAGAAAACAATGTATCTGAAATTTTACTAGCAAGCCATGAAGCAAATGCATTCATGGGAATAAAATACAGACTTAAGGAGTTAAGTAATTACTTACAGAAATTATTCGGAAGAAGGAAGTGTAGCTGAAGGACAAGTGCGAATGAATGGAATTTAACTCAGTAACACCTTTTGGAAAAATAAATAACTAACATGAATCTTAAGATGTGGTAGCTCTCTTCATTTACAGCAGAGCTTCTTAAATTAGGAATGGACACAACGTAAAGCTATTTTCTTTGGAAGAGACGTCGAAAGCAAACAGCAGAGGGGGGAAAAAATCTATTTTTATATCATTCTCCATTCTACTAAGGGTGGGGAACACCACTTGAAACGGTGAGACATATCAAAAGAATAAAAAGGGTACAAATTAAAAACGTTGATATGTAGAGCTTCGTAAAGTGTTTAGATGTTAAGCGGTTAGGTGCCTTTTACGAAGTTCTACATATCAATGAAGTGCTTCGTAAAGCGGTTAGGTGTTTAACAGAAGCGGAGTATTAACTGAGAAAGTGTTTTTCCAGCGCTTCAGCAATTTAAGCAGGAAAGCCTCTTTCCATAATCTGAGTCTCAAAACACCCTACTTAAAAAATTAAGAGAAAAAAAAAAAAAAAAAATGGATCAGCTAAAGGTCAAAGAACTGATTGTTTCAGTCATCTGCCCAGTATACTTAATACCTAGTAAGTACATACCTAGTAAATGTGAGATCGTTGAATTAAAATTATAAATAGATAAATAAAAAAAATTCCTTTTTTAAATTTAACAAACATTCTCTATTCGTATAAAGCAAATTAAAAGTTAATGCAATTTAACTGCAAACAAATAAATAATTAATTATTGCTTCGAACTAATCTACAATACCATTTAAATTCTGAGAGCATATTAAAATCAAATGCAAGTATCAAAATCCATGAACAAATATATAATATATAATTATTTATTATTTAAATTTAATTTAACTTTACTAGTTCTTCTTTTGGAAAATTCCTTATTTATATATTCTATTTTTCTCCATGCAAAAATAATCAAAAATGAATGCCAAAAACTGTTTTCATATCTAATTTCCCAAGTCTGATTTACAGATTATTTAATCATAAAACAAATATATAATAATAACCGACAACATGTGTTTTCAATGGAATTGAAATATTTGTTTATTTATTTAATATTAATTGCGATATACAGTATTGTGGGGAGAATAAAAAAATACATCACTTATACAAGAAAACGGTTATTACGTAGCCAGAGGTTCTTTAGAAAGACCTTTTATCAATTATCTCAATAATATGATAATGATGTTTACGAATAGTTTATTTCTGATATTTATAGCAATTATTAAACAGAATACGTATATATATATTTCTTAAATGGATAACTTAAGCAATAAATGCACTGTTATTATTAGAACGCAAAATTAAAAACCTTACGCTAAAGTCTAAAGGATGATTAGTATTGCGGCAGCATAATGTAACACCACATAACGTTACGCAATAAATATAAAGACTACAGTCACTTTTAACATCAAATACTTATCACGAATAACACAAAGTCAAAAGTACTTTCTCAACAAACTAGACAATCAATACAAACTAAGTATATCCATATTCTAAGCATTTTCATAAGCAATATACCCTGGTGAGCGACCGAATGATTGCGACACATAAAGACTGAAAAGCGATTTATAGTCTCGAAGACGAAACAATAAAATCTCATTGTTTCTAGCGTAATATGCTCCGCATCCCTCTGGATCTGAAACACATATATCTTGGCTACATTTTCTCTCGCCGATCTCATGAGCAAATATCGCCAGCTTTAACGGTCTCCATGACAACCGACACAACTATCCCACACATTTGATTAATCCTTTTCTTGCGCTTTTCGCGCCACTCAGACGGGAACTCTTCCCATTAATTCCGCAACGAAAAGAGCGTTTCGAACGCTCGAAACGTTGATAAATTCTTTCTGAAAATCAGTTCAGATGAAGGGAAGGCAATCTGGAACGTTATTTCGACTGGCTTTTATGTATTCCCAATGCTAATACTGTTACATGAAACTAGAAACAATATTTGTTACGTGTACTTACGCGTACCTTTATTGGAAAGAGAGGCAATTTCCCAGACTGTTACATACTCATGCATTTTTCAAGTCTGCCCCGTACCATTTTAAAGCTGCTAGTTTCAAGTCATTTTAAAGCTGCAGCTGGATACAGAAGAAATCGAATACGGAATTCTGGTATCTGCGCTGTAATTTTAAATCCAACTCGTAGGACCGATAATTGCCATAGCATACTCTGCTATGGCAATTATCGGTCCTACGAGTTGGATTTAAAATTAACCTTCTGTGCCACTTCACGAAACCTTTTGTGCCACTCCAAAACACCATCGTGCTTAAATCAATTCCATAATTAGAACATCATGTAGCATGATTTTTGCAAAATTTAAAGTAGATTTCAGGTTTTAATGGGTTATTTTATCTTCATTAAGAATTAATATCCTTGAACTGATTGCTACACTTCTCTGTTCTAAATTAACTTAATATTTTGTCATCTTTGTTTTATTTAAAATATATACATTCTCCGTCAGAAAAGTTCCAGTACAAGGGCCATAAAAAATAGAAAATTGCATTTACCAAGTAATGATCCTAGCTGCTATCGAAGTAGTCCCCTTAGCTAACTATACACAACTGCCAACGTTTCTGGAGGTCTTGGATGCTAGCGGGGAAATCTTCAACTGCGATGCTTGCAAGCTCATTTGCCACAGCCCGTTTGATATCTGCAATAATCTTGATGAAGCTTTTCTTTCGGTCACCTTTTCACTCACAAAAGCAAGAGGAAATCACACGAATCTTTGACACAAATGTGGAATCACGTCTGGCTCTATCCAATAGTTCAGAAGAAAGTCTTTCCTCTTTCTGTTCATCTGTTACTGAGTGAGGGACGATTCTTACATTAAGTTTCCGTTCCCTAAATCTTCGCGTAAAATCTTATGACACACATCATGATTCAAATTCTGTTGTTCTGATATCATACGTAGTTTCATGACGGTCCTGTAGCAATAATTGCCTCACACGCTCCACGTTTCCATCGGTATGTGCTGTAGACGGGCGACCAGCTCTGAGATCGTCTTGCACTGAAATCTCTGCCTTCACGAAACCTTTTGTGCCATTCGAAAACACGACTTCTTGAAAGTGCCTCCTCGTGTGTATATGTTACACGTTTCACTGGGGGCTTTCTCGAGCTTAAAGCAGAACTTAAGTGTTCATTCTTTGTTCACAATCAGAGTCCATTTGTGTCACCTTAACGAATGCGACAACAATCCGAACAGTGTGTTGCTAAGCACAGCCCTACCATCTAGTAAGTTTGCCTGGAAACATTACCAAGGTCATACATAACTAGGTAAAACATAAAAAGAACAATTGCACCTTGTTAGTACTGCAAACTCAGGAAAAAAAATTGTCCTGGAACTTTTCTGACAAAGGATGTATTATTATTTGGGCGGATAATACTTAATTACGACCGAAGAACCTTGTAATACAACATGTAAAGTAATGTGGGAAATTAATACATGCAAAGAAGTTTCGTACAAAAAATAATGTTTTTTATGTGGCACGCAAAAATTTGACAATCGATGTGAAATTAAACTAAATAGAATCTCAGAAAACAATGTACGGGAGTACAAAGAAATGCCATGCATCTACTGTCGATTGCATCAGGCAACAAAGAACAAATAATAAGACTATAAAATGCATACCTATCTATATAAAGAAGAAAGTCTGATTGTTTGTTCGCTAATAACTTAGTCACTACTATAGCTATCGTCACGAAACTTTCTATAATTCTTCGGTGGGTCCTGGAAATGATCAACGTCCACTCTTTTATATAAAAAAAAATGTGCTAAAATCAGCGATATTAATTAAAAACTCGGAAAAACGGTAATTTTTTTGCTTTCATTTCCCCCAACCGTCTCGCACGCTGGAGATAAAAATCAGCTTTAATTCGATAAGGATTGCCACTGTTCGCTTTCAAATCCTAGAGTTCGTTGATAAAAAATTTCTAAGTTTTACAATGAAATAAAAATTGCGTTGCCAAGTATTAAATACACTATTCCCGATTCCGAAAATTCGTGGGAAGCCATTTCGACTATTCCCATCTGCGTACGACTATTATTAATTAAAATTTTTTTAATATTAATTAAAAATTTTTATCATCATCCGAAACATTATCCGAAATATTAATTAAAAAATTTTTAAAGCGCTCATTTTCGCACACATTTTTCTGAGTGGCAACAGTCTGGCGCGTTGGAGATAAGAATGCTTTAATTTCGAAAAGTGTTGCTGCTACTCCCTTTCAAATCTTAAAGTTTGTTAATCAAAAATTTGTACGTTTTACAAAATCTGTACACATAAAGAAGAATATCTGTGTGTTTGTTTGTTCGCGTTATTGATTTTTGATCGATTTTTTGCCCCATTTAATGGACTAAAATTGAATATAGGTGAAGTATTGGATGGAACTCGAGCTCTAACGAACATTTGATTAGAAAGACGAAAATGACTAAAAACTGCGTGCCAGTTTTGCTGATATAATGAGAGAGAATTAGTTAATTTTTCTATGAAAATATTTATGTGGGTTCCATATCGCATCAGACTGAAAAATGTGCGTCTATGCATTACTCTCAATCTAACTTAAGTGGCATCGGGTACTTCCGTTAGATCTCAATAATTAAATAAACAGAAATGGCCGAAGAGACAGACTTAGGTACCAGAAACGTACCTAATAAAATTTAAAAACTTCCCGCAGAAGCAGCGGAGTTCTTTAACTGGCGAAGCGCGCAGTTTCGGCTCGAATCTCGACCGGGCGGATTCATTTATTTCGGATTTCTCGTCGAGCCGCGGCGAGGCAGAAAGCAGGAGCAGCCGTATAATAAAATCTTACCGTTGGATATAAATCTCGCGTAAACCGCGGCCGCTTCGATATTTCACCGCGAAAGAAGCTCCCGAGCAAACAAAAGATCTCCGAGTCGATCCATCACAAAAGCGGACGTCTATTGCCGCTCGCCCTTTCATCCATTTTAATCATTTCGCTTCCCCTGGCGAAAAAGACGCGGCCCAGAGCTGAGGCCTGCATAACTTTTCCGCGCAGAGAGAATACCTGGAAATTCAACGCCGGCCCACAAACACGCACTGGAAGGTGAGATTTAAGCTCTACTCCACTGCGAACGGCTACCTTTTCTTTATTATAAAATTCCCATCCCAAAGTTAAAGTTGGTTCTCAAATAAAAGGGATCTGCAGAAGCTCAGATTTAGAGCAACTTCTCACAGTCACTTCCCTATATTTATTTTCTTTTAAAAAGGTATTACTGGAGGAGGTAACGCTTCACAAATTAAATCTATACATTTTATTTCTGACATTATGGACAGCTTAATAGCCGCTTAATTTAAATGAGAGTGAAAGAAGGGAAAAGAATGAAGTGTCATTGAAAGCAATCAGGCATTCCAATGGTTCCCAGATTTTTATACTTCGACTGGGTATAAAATAACATTAGAAACAGACCTCGACTGGGTATAAAATAACATTAGAAACAGAGGTTCTAATTTAACGAAGGAGAAGTACTTGTGCGCTGTTTGTACTATGGAGGGCTTTATAAATAATTATTTTATTAGCCTATTATGTATGTTAGCCACCTTATGTATGTTACATGAATAATACCTTAAAGCTGAATGGACTAGAGCAGTGGCGCCCAACCTTGTGCTCGCGAGCACAAGTGTGTTCGCCGACCGTTTTGTGTGTGCTCGCCAGCCCGATTAGGTACTATGAACAAAACATATTTTAAAAATATCCCTTCATTTATATTTTTAATTGTTAAAATATGGTAAGCATTTATAGTCATAAGAGATATCTTGCAAGATGTTATAAAATAATTGATTGCTGACTGATGAACTTGATAGCGAACGTGGAATCTTATTGCTTCATTCCGATGTTAGATGGCTCAGCAGGGGAAAAGTATATCAACGATTTGTAGAACTTCTTTAGCCAATAAAGCAGTTTTCGGAATCCGGAAAAGAAAGTTATAAAGAATTGGACGATAATAATGGGTTATCCGATCTGTATTTTCTCACGGATATAACAGCTAAACTGAACAAACTAAACGAAGATCTCCAGGAAAAAGAAAAGAACCCTTTTTCAACTGACTGGGACTGCTTTTCAGATAAAGTTAAATTTGTGAATAAATCAGATTAAAAAAAAAATTCACCCATTTTCAGAATTTATCAGGCCATATTAATAACCACAAGGCAATTGAAACAGAGAAATATCGGAAAACCAAAATGCACTGAAAAATCATTTTGAACTCCGCTTCTCTGATTTTCATAAAAGTTCAACCAATATTATTATTCATCTCAAACCCATTGGCCGAAATTAAAATTTCAGGTGTATCAGATAAGATTGGAAATATGTTTAACAAAAATGTTGATGTTTTGGAAATGTGCTCGCGAGAGGCCAAAGGTTAAGCACCACTGGACTGGAGTATACACTGATGGCTCTAAAATATAGGGCAGCACTGGGGTTGGTGTATACAGTAAACTTTTTTTCCAATGTACTCCTGCGGGACACTTCATGGCGAGTTTTGATCAAAGTCAATAAACATTTTAGTGCTTGACATAAAATCTTCAATGTTTTACGCATGCATGAAACAGATTAAAAATCAGTCTTCCTTTTCAAAAAAGAAGAAAGAAGCAATTTTCAATTTCTATCAGCTGCAATACTAGGAAATGTATTTTCGAAAACCATACGTCGAATTTCGACATTACCATCAAAATGTTTTAAAATGATTTAAAGACCTCAGCGTTTCAATAATAACGAAATATTCTTACAACATATTTATAAACAAATTCTAACAGCATATTTATAAATTTCTAAGACATACTAATTCAGAAGTCAAACAACAAAAATCAGCGTTATATTTTCAAAATTTTTTCACAGGACTAGTTTCGATGGTTTTACCGAACCACCATCCTCAGCTGCAAAACCTGAAATGAACAAGATAGGAAATAATGATTAGATAAGATAAGAAAGCCTGGACAAGAATAAGTTCTTGTCCTGTGAGCATTATTCTGTGAGTAATATTTTTGCAGTATTTTTTTTTTTTTTTTTTTTCTAGAACCCATGCCTCCGTGGTGTAGTGGTCAGCACTCTCGGCGCGTATTCGAGAGGTACGTGGTTTAAGCCCCGGCTTGGGCGTTGCTTATTTTTCACATGTCCTGCTTCAAAAAATCATAATGATTCAACAAATGCAAAAACTACGTATCAGTGATAAGCACATCGCTAAAGACAGAGCAATAAGAACGTATCCGTAATAACTCATGAGTTAAGTAAAAAATAGTAAAAAATAAAATGAAATAAATTGTTTTATACCAAGCTGTAGATTTATGTCTTACGAATACGAAGTTATGATATAGGATAATATGATAGTTAAAATTGCTAGTAAATACTTTTTAAATCAGCATGCCCATGTAAAAAAGAAAAATGCTGTTCATTAATGAACATTAATAAGGTGCTTCACAGAATTTGGTTCCCCTACAAAATAATTTTTCATTTTATTAAAAATTTTAAACAGCCAAAGATATTAAGAGTCCTGCCATATATTTTACATGACAGGACTCTTTCTTAGTAACTTATCCCGTCCGTTTTGAATTAAATCATAACAATACTCTTAAATTTTTAAAATTATAAAATGCAGTAAAGAAGACTCATCAATTATAATTATACTAAAAGCCTTTAGTCACAAGAAAGATTTAATTATTCAGTTTACTAATTAGACCAGTTTGTGTTTAAAGTTGTTTTTCAGGTGAGATAGTTAAAACTGCCCAACAAACTTTTCCTCAAAGCAAAATTCTTCCTTCAAATGGAGTCCAATTTTATGCATCGAAAGCATCATTTTGTTTTTCTTTTACATGCCAGATGTTGGTTGGTTGGTTGGTGTCGTCTAGTCAAATAGATTCCATGTGTGGAAATCACAGCTTTTGCCAGTTCCACGCTCTTTTTACTACACAGCTCTCCCTGGAAAGGAAATTTCCCCATACTTTCCTCTCATGAAAAAATCTGATGTGTACACCACATGACTTCCTTGTTGGGAATATTAAATTATACGCATTTTTCTTGCATTTCATTTAAACTTATTGAATTAAATTTATTTCGTCATTAGCGCATAAGCCATAATAGAATAAATGCACTCTTTAAAATTCGCTATATTTGTTTACCATAGCGACACTCTGGCCTAGGCCGTTAAATTTCATTCATTTTTTAACTCAGAATGCACAAAATTTATATCATCTTAAGAATTATCTAATAGCTGTCACATATTCTATTCAAATACTATAATAAATCTAAAAAAAATGTATAAAAGAAATTTAAAAAACCACCACCAACAACAAAAAAAGTTAATTAAAATTATTAAAGTTAATTAAAATTAAAAAAGTTAATTAAAAAAATTAATTCAGTTTTTCCTTCGCGACAAGGCAAAAATACATAAAAACTCAAAATATCTGTATTGAAAATTCTGAAGTAAATCTTAAACACTTAGTTCCTCGAATAAATTCCAGAATGGATTAAGCATGATTTAATTCGCAATGATAAAAGAAGGCGTTATCTTTGTTTTTGTGAAGCTTACTTTCTCTGGATTGGCAACAAATCTACTATTCTGCAGTTTCAAATGTAAAGAAACACTGCCGCCATTGCAAAAAAGCTTAGCGGCACTTAAAACAACTTTTAAATTGTTAATAATTCTAAAAATATCGCATGCAGATTTACTAAAGGCATAAAAACCTTAACCGGAAGATAAGAACAACATGCTTCAATCATTTTTAAAGCAACAAATGCACAATTTACAAACATATCAGAGTAAAGAAACTGAGCTTACTGAGCCGAGTAACAGAGTGGATATATATACCCATATTTATATACTTTTGGTGCGGCCGATTCCAACCAAAATACGAGGTGCACATCTACAGGCTATAGCAATGCTATATACAAAATTTCAATGTTCTGAGGCTACTCGCTTTTGAGTAACACGAGATAGGTACATACGTACGTATGTATACGTGGCACAGGCGCCACGAAAATTTCTCTTCAGAACTCATTTTAAATCAGTTTTATAATTCTTTTGGAGGAAAAGAGTCCTTTATTCTGTCCTTACGTACGGATGTCACGCAAAAATATCGTTTAATTGCATTCGATAACGGTCAAAATGGATATTTTCGTTGAAATATGATGCCTGAAGTTTTTTGCGATTACAATACTTCCTTTTTATTTCATACAAGGAAGTCAAAATGGTTGCTATTACCTCAGGAGTTTGGACTTTAGTCTGCTAGTCCGCGGAAGGTATTTCATTTTCCCTTCTACCACCAGAAGGATGCATTCCGCTATCCGCCACCTTGGGGACGCGGCTATGCCAGCAATTAGCCGGTTATAAGCAGAAGCTAATTTAAACATTGCTTAGCACCTTTCTCTGCTTTTTACAGCTATACGTTCATGTTTTTGGATGATCATCATTTTATCTACTCGTACAGCCGATTTGTATCTTTAGCTATCAACTAAGTGGACGAGTTTTTCGTTTAGATTAGATATTTATACACGAAAAAAAAAAAATCTGATGTGTACACGACATGACTTCCTTGTACGGAATATTAAACTATACTCATTTTTTCTTGCATTTCATTTAAACTTATTGGATTGAATTAAATCTACTTCGCCGACAGCGTATAAACCACAAAAAAATAAATACATTCCTTAAAATTCACACTTTTTGTTTAACATAGCGACACTCTGGCGCTAGGTTCCCTTAACAATATTTATTATATTTCGTTCTTATTATAACTCAGAAGGCACAAAATTTATATCATTTAAAGAATTATCTAATCGTTGCCACATGTTCTATTCAAATACTATAATAAAGCTAGAATGATGTATAAAAGAAATTAAGCAAACAAAACAAAAAAGAAACAGTTTTTCACAGACGATTGAATATTTCTCATTGAATTAATTCAGCTC